GAGGGGGCTGTGAGAGCCTCCAGCAACGCCAGCGAGCCCTCAGTTCGCGTGTGCGCGCGCCTGCGTGTGCGTGTGTGGTCACAGGTCTGCAGGGACACGGGACCAAAGCACAAAGTACACACGCGAAGTACAAAGTTCAGAAGCCGAGGGCAAGTGCAGAAACGTTCCTCGCCCCCTCCCAGCTTCCGGAGAAGTTGAGTCTCTCGCCCCCTCCCAGCTTCCGGAGAAGTTGAGCGCACACCCAGGCACGCCTGTATTTCTGGAGACTTCCCCCGGTGCAGGCGGCCGCGTTTTCTACTGCATCACAGACCGCAGGGCTTGGAAACGCTCCTGCCCTGTTTTCAGGGGCGTCCCCGCCTCCTGAGCCCCGGTCCTCTGCGGAGGGGCCGCGCACTCAAGTTTGCCAGTGTGAGCTTTACCCTTCGCTCTCGGCGTGGACCCCCAGAGCCGTGTCTTCCTTTCCTTTGATTCCCTCTCGTCCCAGCTGGAAAAAAGGCTCCCGGAAGGGTGACCTGGTGTCTGGATTCCACTCCCATCACTCCCTAGCCGACCCCGCGAGCTGAGCTCCAGGCAGGAAGAGGTGCGGGTGCCTGGGACACAGGCTGACTCCCTGGGCGGTGGCGGTCAGGGGTCGAGCGTCCTCTGTCCGTCAGGGGCCCCCAGCGCCAGGAGGCGACGCTGGATGCAGTGGCCATCTCCTCCTGCCGCCAGGCCAGGGGAAACCCAGGGCGCCTCCCGGGTCAGCAGGGCCAGCTCTCCACCAGGCTGACCCACCTGACATCCTCAGGCTAAGGAAAAAAGGGCTACCCCACCCCCATAGTCGGATGGCAAGTGTTGGGGTGCAGCCCCCGCCACTAGTGTCCCCTGTTCTGCCTGAGCAGGCCTCTCTCTTACTCACTGCTCTTGGGCCTGAAGCAGAGCCAACAGCTCAGTGAGGGCTTCATTCTGAGGTCCCTGGCGTGCACCACGGAAGCACAGCGGGACCACCCACCCACCTGCCCCAGCTCCCCAGTGGAAGTCCTGAGATGGCAGATTAAATACTCTGGGGTCCTGAATTCCACAGATGAACTGGGTCCCCCACGGCTATGGCCAAGGGGACGGCCCACTCCCTGGTGGCACCATCTGAAATCAAGCTGCTTCTCTGGCTGCAGGGCCCAGCTCACTGCCCAGACACAGGAGCACATCGGCCTGCACACGACTGGGTGGGCACGGCTGTGAGGGATGCCACCCTGTGCCTTGGGCCTCCTGCACGGGCTTGGGCCTCCCCACTCTGGGTGGACAGGTTACTTTGGCCCCTCAGCCTCTGGGGACTGCTGCCCTGTTTTCAGTACAGTATCAGGACCATCCAGTCAGCCAGCTCCTCCAGCACCAAAACTCCCGTGTCCTCATTCTCCTGGGCCATTACGGTTGGCCAGGGCGCAGCCTTTGCTGGAAGGCCGTCTAGTCTGGGCTCTGGTCAGGCATCGATGTCCCCCAGGCACCTGGCCTCACCTCGCGTTGGGACAGCCTCTGCAAGATGGAACAGGAACAGTCTGGCTTTGCCTCTGTCACCTCCTTCTGGTCCATCATGTCCTCCTGGCCAGCCCATTCCTGGTTCCTGCAGGGGGCCCAGCCCAAAGGGGACCTGAGAGATTCTAACTTAATTCTAGTTCAGCCTCCCAGATCCTCTTGTGGAGCAGCAGGATCCCATAAAAGCAGGAACTACTTGGCTCAGCAACTTGCTGGCCAAGCCTCCCCACAGTGACCCAGAGGCCAGAGGTAAACATGCCCATGCCCCACAGTCAGAAGGCCTGGTGCAAGGAGGGGTGATTGTGGTGACTGAAATGGGAACTCTGGCTTGATGGCGCGGAGAGAAGACGTGGACCCCAAGAGCTGCAGGTTGGGGACAACCGATACACTCTTTTTCCCCTAGATGTAGTGCCACAGCCTGAATCAAATAGCACCTGCTGCTGGCACTCTGACCTAGGGCTGGGTCAGTCACCTGTCCCCCTTGCTCTGAAATGGAGAGTGCATGTGACCACAACCAGTCCTGGACAATCCTGCCATGCCAGAGCCACCAGCTGGAACACACGGACACAACCTCTTTTCTGTCTGACTGGTACAAGGTATGTGCTGCTTCCAGCTCCAGAGCGCCTTGGGTGATGCCACCTATGGTGATCAAGGTGGCAACTACCCATGTGGCTTTGACTGAATCAAGCTTGTTGATTTTTTAAAATAGCTTTATTGATACAGACATCATGCTGTAAGACTTCTCCCATTTAAAGTGTCCAATTCAATGGTGTTCAGTTTAGTTACAGAGTTGTGTGACTGTCACCATCATCCAGTTTAGAACTTTTTTTTTTTTTTTTGAAATGGAGTCTTGTTCTGTTGCCCAGGCTGGAGTGCAGTGACACTATCTTGGCTCACTGCGACCTCTGCCTTCCAGGTTTAAGCAGTTCTCCTGCCTCAGCCTCCTCAGTAGCCGGGATTACAGGCACGTGCCACTATGCCCAGCTAATTTTTGTGTTTTTAGGAGAGACAGGGTTTCACCATGTTGGACCAGGCTGGTCTCAAACACCTGACCTCAGGTGATCCACCTGCCTTGGCCTCCCAAAGTGCTGGGATTACAGGCATGAACCACTGCACCCAGCCCCAAGCTCAGAACGTTTTCATCACCCTAAAAAGCAAATGGGGATACCCCTCAGCAGTCACCCCCACTGCCCCCTCCCTCCAGCCCCTAGTGACCACTCATCTAGTTTCTGTCTGTATGGATTTGCCTGTCTTGTACATTTCATAGAAATGGAATCATTCAATGCATGGCCTTTGTGTCTGGCTTTTTTCACTGAGCATAACATTTTCAAGGCTTTTCCATTTTTTAATGTGTATCAGCGCTTCTTTCTTTTTTACTCCCAAATACGGTCCATTGTATAGTCTCATTCATTCTAATGTATCCATTGTTTGGATATATGACATTTTGTTTGTCCATTCATGAGTTGATGGACAACTGGCTTTTTCCCACTTTTTGGCTATTGTGAATAATGTTGCTATGAACATTCATATCTAAGTTTTTGTGGACATTTGTCTTCATTTCTCTGGGGCATACACCTAAGAGTGGAGTTGCTGTTTGACCTTTTGAGGAAACAACAGACTGTTTTCCAAAGTGACTGCACCATTTTCCCTTCCCGCTGGCAGTGCACCAGCGTTCTGCTGCTCACATCCCCCACAACATTGTGACTGTTGGGCTTTTTATTGCAGCCACCACAGCAGGTGTGACGTGGTATCATTGAGGTGTCAGTTTGCATTCCCTAATGATTCATGATGCTGAGCTCATCTGACATTGATTATCTTCACTGGAGGAATGTCTGTTCCGTGCTCTCACTATCTTGGTAGTGTCCTTTCAGACATAAAATTTTTAAATTTTGGTGAAATCCAATTTACATATGTTCTCCCTTTATTGCTTGTGCTTTTGTTGCTCAATTGCTTGATGAAGGATGGGAGCTGCCTGGCCTCCCGGGTCGTTAGAAAGGAAACCTCTTGGCAGGCATGGTGGCCCACTCCTGTAATCCCAGCACTTGTGGGAGGCCGAGGCCGGTGGATCACTTAAGGTCAGGAGTTCGAGAATAGCCTGGCCAACATGGCAAAACTCCCGACTCTACTAAAAAACTACAAATATTAGCCGGGCATGATGGTAAGCACCTGTAGTTCCAACTACTCAGGAGGCTGAGGCAGGAGAATCACTTGAACCTGGGAGGCGCAAGCTACAATGAGCCGAGATCACACCGCTGCATTCCAGCCTGGGTGACAGCGAGACAAGAAAGGAAAGGAGAGGAGAAGGAAGGAAGGAAATAAACCTCTTTTCTGTCTGTCCCAGAGGTTTAACTACACTAATATAGAGCATCTTTTAGTAAAGGTTTGTTGTTGATTTGTTTCTACTCACACGAGATGTCTTCATTTTACCCTCAGTCTTAAAATAAAATTTTGGTACCTGTTAATTTTTGGTTTGAATTGAATTATTTTCTTGAACATAGTAAGGCAGGAGAACAGGGTCTGGAGGCCAATTCACGCTGACTCCCTAGAACTAAATCGAATGGAAACACTTCCCGCTATGACAGGAACTGTCCTCTCCATTTACAAAGGCCACACCAAATAACGAATGGAAACCTCTGGAAGGTAATTACACCCCCAAAAAACTCTGTAATGGGGCTCTTGAGCCCCTGTGCTCAGCCGCTCCCACACTGTGGAATTGCTTTCCTTTTCTTGTTCCTTTTTTGAGAAGAAGTCTCACTCTATCACCCGTGCTGGAGTGCAGTGGTGCAATCTTGGCTCACTGCAACCTCCACCTCCTGGATTCAAGCGATTCTCCTGCCTCAGCCTCCCGGATTCAAGTGATTCTCCTGCCTCAGCCTCCCGAGTAGCTGAGACTACAAGTGTGCACCACCATGCCCGGCTAATTTTTGCATTTTTAGTAGAGGGGGGGGTTTCACCATGTTGGCCAGACTGGTCTCGAACTCCTGACCTCAGGTGATCTGCCTGCCTTGGCCTCTCAAAGTGCTGGGATTGTAAGCGTGAGCCACCGCGCCCAGTCATACATTTGTTTTCCATAAATCTCGCTTTTGTTACTTCCTTCTTTCCTTGCATCTTGTCCACTTCTTTGTTCAAGACGTCAAGAACCTGCACACCCTCCACCGGTCACAATAGCAGTTTCGCTTTCCACTCCATTTTATCCAGGGTAGTTTTATCTCCACCCTGGCATTTGCAGAATCCGGGCAAGTACACGAATGGATGCTCCACAATACTTGTCTAGATATAGACATATAAATAAAAGTATAAAAGTTATAAATAAAATAATTTAAATGAATCAAAATTTTATTATTTAAATCTGTTGAAGTCTTGACTGTGTACATGAAAATAAAACTCTTCCTAATGTGGCGTTCAATGCCCACGTCGCTGCCACCGTGCCTGGCCCCGCGCCCGGGCGCGCTGTGTCTGCAGCTGCAGACTTAGATGCCGGCGCGCGGGAGGCGGCGCAGAGCCCGGCAGGCGCCGCCATTGCCTCTGCATCCGCGCGGTCTCCCCGGGGCCCCAATGGCTGGGGCGCGGGCGACGGCGGCGGGGCCTGGAGGGGGCTGGCTCCAGCCCAACGCGGGGTCCCCGGGGCGCCCCTGGAACTTACGTCCGCGAGGGGCCGCGCGGGCCTGGGGGCGGGGCCTGGAGGGCGCTCCCGACTCCCTCTGCGCGGGCTGATCTCGCGAGGGCCGCCTGGTCTCGCGGCATTGGCCTGTGGGCGGGGTGAGCCCTGAAAGGCCAGGCGAGGGGGCGGCTCCGCGGGGTCGGGAGAGTAGTCCAGAGCGCCATGGCCGCCCTGCGTGCCCTGCTGCCCCGGCTCCGCGGCCCGCTAAGGCCCCCGGTTCGCTGTCCCGCGTGGCGTCCCTTCGCCTCGGGTGAGTGCGCGGTGAGAGCGGGCGGCCCGAATCTCCTCCTGACTCCGACCTGCACGCCCCGACCAGATTCCAGACCGCACCCGCCTCCCGCCTGACCCCGCATCCCCCACCTGACCCGGACCCGCACCCCCTCCCACGTGACCCTGCACCCCTACCTGGCCCCGCACCCCATCTGACCCCTACCCGCACCCCACTCCACCTGACCCCGCACCCCCGGCCTGACCCCGCACCCCTCTTCCGCCCGATCCCGCAGCCCCATGGCCTGACTCCGCAGTCCCCTGCCTGACCCCGCACCCACCACCTGACCCCGACCCGCAGCCCCTGCCTGGCCCAGGCCTGCAACACCCCACCCCCCTCGCCTAGTGCACCCCCAACCTGGCCCACACCAACAGCCTGACCCAGGCTTAACAACCCTCCACCACCCGCCCCCACCCACCAACACCATCCACCTGACCCTGGCCCGCACCCCATCCCCCCCCAGCTCTGCAGGAGGCCACTCTCACCAGGCAGCGTCCTGCAGGAGGCCCAGGAGGCCTGGCCGCTGGCTCTTACTGCCCCAATGCCAAGACCTCTGGCCAACTGGGCGCAGGGTGAGGGTTGTGAAAATCCCAGGTGTTCCCTCGGCTCTAAGAGCAGGCATAGGTCCTGTGCAGCAGGCCAGCCCAAGAACAGGAGATGCAGGTACATTTTGTCCTGGGTGCCTCCTGACCAGGGCCGCCCCTCAGAGGGTCCTAAGGAAAAAGCTGACACCTCCTCCCCAGCCACAGGGACCTGCCCTCTTCCTCCCTCGGGGCTCACCCGGGGCCCCACTCATCAGTGACCATCACCCACTCTAGTATCTGAGGAATCTTGGGCCATGCCTTGGGCTGGGGAAGAACTCTTGCTTTCTCTTCCTCCCTCACCCTGTTTCCAGTGGACCGCTGAGTTGTGTTGTTTTCATCCCCAAGCTCTCCTTGGCCGTCGGCTTCTCCACCCTCACAGCAGCCCTTTCCTGGATCTTGCATAGCTGCCAGACACTTCACCTGTGATCTTCCAGTTACCCCTAGAAACCCACAGGATAAGGTGGGGTACAGTGGCTCATGCCTGTAATCCCAGCACTTTGGGAGGCTGAGGCAGGTGGATCACCTGAGGTAGGGAATTCGAGATCACCTTGGCCAACATAGTGCAACCTCATATCTACTAAAAATACAAAAATTAGCCCGGTGTGGTGGTGTGTGTAGTCCCAGCTACTCGAGAGGCTGAGGCAGGAGAATCACCTGAACCCTGGAGGTGGAGGTTGCAGTGAGCTGAGATTGCACCACTGCACTCCTGGGAGATAGAGTGAGACTCGGTCTCAAAAAAAAAAAAAGAAACCCACAGGACAGGGACTATGATCCCTGCTTTGCCACTAACAGAGGCAAGCATCCAACACGCAGGCTACCTTTGTCTTTTCAGGTTCACCTTCTCACCCTGAATGCCATTGTCCTTTGTCCCCTTCCCACCTTGCTGTCCACCCAGCAGGCACAGGTCCTGTGCAGCAGGCCAACCCGAGATGCGCTTGCGTCTCCCGTTTTCGGGCTGGCCTGCTGCACGAGACCTGACCTGTGCCTGATCTTAATGCCGCAGGAACACCCAGGATTTTCACAGCCCCCACCCAGTGTCCATTTGGCCAAAGGTCTTGGCAATGGGGAGGCACCAAGTGCAAGGAGCTGGCACTCCATCCTGTTTGAGGCTTACACCCCCTTACCTGTTGGCATTTGTTGAAAGAAGGCGTTTCCTGGTTCCTTAGCAGAGTCCAGAGCTGTCTCCAGTGTGGTGTCCTGGAAAGAGCTGCCCGAGGCATATTAGGAGAAGGAGAGCGGCCATGGGCTATGTTCTGTGCTAGGGATTTTCCTTTTTTTTTTTTTTTTTTTTTTGGAGACAGAGTCTTACTCTGTCGCTCAGGCTGGAGTGCAGTGGCACGATCTCAGCTCACTGCAAGCTCCACGTTCACGCCATTCTCCTGCCTCAGCCTCCTGAGTAGCTGGGACTACAGGTGCCCACCACAACAACCAACTAATTGTTTGTATTTTTAGTAGAGATGGTGTTTCACCATGTTAACCAGGATGATCTCGATCTCCTGACCTCGTAATCCGCCTGCTTCAGCCTCCCAAAATGCTGGGATTACAGGCGTGAGCCACCGTGCCCGGGCTGGGGATTTTCTTTAGGACATGTTCAAACACATGTGAAAGCAGAGAGAAAGGTACCAAGGCTACCACGTATCGCTGTGGCTGAGAGCTACACCTGGAGCCACTGAGGACTGGGCAGGGAGCCCTCAGAGGGCCTCTTGGGGTCACACTGTATCCACCGATGGGGCCACATCCCTTCCCCCACTCTCCCCAGTTTGATACCTGTGTGAATAGATACCCCTTTTTGCCTTCTCGCTCTAGGTGCTAACTTTGAGTACATCATCGCAGAAAAAAGAGGGAAGAATAACACCGTGGGGTTGATCCAACTGAACCGCCCCAAGGCCCTCAATGCACTTTGCGATGGCCTGATTGAGGAGCTCAACCAGGCACTGAAGACCTTCGAGGAGGACACGGGCGTGGGGGCCATTGTCCTCACCGGCGGGGATAAGGCCTTTGCAGGTGTGCGCAGCAGCGGAGGCCTTTGTGTCTGGGCAGATGTGGGAGGCACGTGTGGCCTTGGGAGAAGCCTCCAGACTGACTCGTACCCCTGTGATGGCAGAGGCATGCGCGTGGGGACTTCCTCACATATCCAGTGAAGACGGGCATGGGAACAGCTTGCATGAGCAGCTTTGTGTATGCTGGAGAACCGCATGTGCTCCCCCAGCAAAATAGCTTCTTCAAAGAGATTCAGATCCTTGGCAGTCAGGCTTTACACAAAGCCTGTCAAGGGCTTACGCCCTGATGAATATGCCCCGCCTCTGTGGGCGCCTCCCTTGCACCTGCCACCTGCCCCAGAACCCCTCTTCATGACCTCTGTTATAGCTGGCATAACAGCGTTCCTACAGCTGTCCGCGTGGCCTGGTGTCAGCCGTGCCCAGCAACCCCAGTGCCCGTGTCTGGTGTGCTCCAAAGCTCCCTGTTGGTCTGGGGGATACAGGACGGGTGGGCTCTCTGCTGTCTGGTAACTGGAACCTCCTTTCCACTCCTGCTAGCTGGAGCTGATATCAAGGAAATGCAGAACCTGAGTTTCCAGGACTGTTACTCCAACAAGTTCTTGAAGCACTGGGACCACCTCACCCAGATGAAGAAGCCAGTCATCGCTGCTGTCAATGGCTATGCCGTGAGTATTGCTGCCGAGGGTCTCCTCTTGTGGCTGAAGAAACTGTGCTGTGCATACACAGCATAACAGATTTTTATTTTGAAGAGGCCTTTAGTTCCCAGGCCAGCAGCCTCCTTTCCTGCCTCATGGTGCTAAAGAGCCAGGAACTGTGCAGAGAGGACACCTCCTGGCATCTGTTTTTTTCATGGCTGTTCACCTGACAGCTTCTCCCCAGCAAGCTGCTCTTCCAGGGCGGTGGAACAGAGGTGTTGGCTTTGGCTACATCTATAAACTGGCTTCTTTTGCTGCCCTTAAAAGCTGTGTCCTGGGACTGTTTGAAGTGCTGCGGCTGATCTTGACTTATAGAGAAGCAGTGTGATCATTTCATGACGCTCCCTTCTGTGGGAGCCAGGGGTCTGATCATTTCATGACGCTCCCTTCTGTGGGAGCCAGGGGTCTGCGGGTGGAGTTTTCTTTGGTACAGCCACACACCCCCAGTCTCTGTGGGTGGAGTTTTCTTTGGCATGTGCCACACCCCCAGTCTCTGTGGGTGGAGTTTTCTCGGCACAGCCACACCCCCCAGTCTCTGTGGCTGCATCTCAGCCACAGCAGCAGAGGTTTTTTCTTTTTTTTTGAGACGGCGTCTTGCTCTGTCGCCCAGGCTGGACTGCAGTGGTGCGATCTCGGCTCGCTGCAAGCTCCGCCTCCCGGGTTCACGCCATTCTCCTGCCTCAGCCTCCCGAATAGCTGGGACTACAGGGGCCGCCACCTCGCCCAGTTAATTTATTTTTAGTGGAGACGGGGTTTCACCATGTTAGCCAGGATGGCCTCGATCTCCTGACCTTGTGATCCGCCTGCCTCGGCCTCCCACAGTGCTGGGATTCCAGGCGTGAGCCCCGCGCCCGGCACCCAGCAGCGGAGTTGAGTCGTCACAGCAGAGCCTGTAAGACCTTCATGGCCCTTTACGGAATGTTTGCCGGCCGCTGGTAAACAGCATCAGCCATCTATAGTTAACTTATCACAATGATTATCTAGTTTGGTGCCACTATGTTAGTCTTTGTCATACCCCTGACACTGTTTCTTTTCAATGGAAAATTTGAATAAGCAAGCAGAGTGATTTCTGACTGGGTTCCCCTCGTAAGACTGTCCTGATGCCGAATGTTTTACAGTTTGGCGGGGGCTGTGAGCTTGCCATGATGTGTGATATCATCTATGCCGGCGAGAAGGCCCAGTTTGCACAGCCGGAGATCTTACTAGGAACCATCCCAGGTAAAGGGTAACACTGTCTCTGATAGGCGTAGATGCTTTAGGGAATTCCTCAGAACGGACCTGTGTCTCAGGGCCCACAGCTCGTATCTGACCAGAGGCCCTGGATGGACAGCCCCGTGTCTGGTCAGTGGTCTGTCTGTGGACAGCCACAGAGGCTGGAGTGGTTGTGACGGAGCTTGGCGCGGCCTCAGAGTCCCGGGACCGTGTCTGGCTCCTGTGACTGTGCCCGGATCACACGTCTGATGGTGTTGGGAGAGCCAGGTCCTGGGTAACACTGGCTTCTAACCATGGCAGTTCTTGCTTGCGATTCGTGTCCAGAGAGAGAATATGGTGACCCTGGGTGGCACTGGGAGCTCTGGCCACTGCCACCTCACTGGCCATGGAGGTCACGTGGCCTGAGTTCAGAGCGGGGAGTCAAACCCCCCACCATGCCCGTGGGAAGGGCCTGGGCTCTTGGCAAAGAGCAACACCCTCTACCCCCAGGGTCTTCCTGGTGGGCCTGGTAGAAGGGTGGCACAGGCTGAGCAGCCAGGAGGGAGCTGAGACCCTGAGGGTGGGCCTGGTAGAAGGGTGGGCACTGAGGGGAGCAGCTGCACTCAGGGCACTCTTTGCTGCCCTCTGAGTTTGACCAGGCAGATTCTGAGGCCTTGAGCTGCGAGCTTGGCACATTTTTTCAGGTTCTGATCCCTAGAAGAGCTGCTGCTCTAAGGGACCAGTGCCTGGGGTCAGGGAGGCCTATAAGCTTCTAAGATGTTGACCACAGAGGCTGGGGAGGGCCCCACGGAGCCACACACCTTGATCCAATGTCAGAGTGTTGGGGGAGTGTGGGGTCCAGTCCTGAGGGGCTTAGCGGGTGTTCTCCCCATGTGCGGAAACAAGAGATTGTAAGAAATAAAGACACAGGAAAAAGAGATAAAGAGAAAACAGCTGGGCCCGGGGGACAACTACCACCAAGACGTGGAGACTGGTAGTGGCCCTGAGCGGCTGGGCGCGCTGATATTTGGTGCATGCAAGAACAAGGAGGCAGGGTAAGGAGGGTGGATCTTCTAAGTGATTGACAAGGTGAAGCAAGTCACGTGATCATAGGACACGGGGGGCCCTTCCCTCTTAGGTAGCCGAAGTAGAGGGGGAAGGCAGCATAGGTCAGTGTTTTCTTCTCTGCACTTATAAGAAAGATCAAAGACTTTAAGACTTTCACTATTTCTTCTACCGCTGTCTACTACGAACTTCAAAGAGGAACCAGGAGTACGGGAGGAACATGAAAGTGGACAAGGAGCATGACCACTGAAGCACAGCACCACAGGGAGGGGTTTAGGCCGCCAGATGACTGCGGGCAGGCCTGGATAATATCCAGCCTTCCACAAGAAGCTGGTGGAGCAGAGTGTTCCCCAACTCCTCCAAGGAAAGGAGACTCCCTTTCACGGTCTGCTAAGTAACGGGTGCCTTCCCAGACACTGGCATTACCGCTTGACCAAGGAGTCCTCAAGCGGCCCTTATGCGGGCGTGACAGAAGGTTCACCTCTTGTCTTCTTCGTCACTTCTCACAGTGTCCCTTCAGCACCTGACCCTATGCTCGCCGGTTATTCCCAGGTTATATAGTAATGGAACAAAGAGTAATATAAAAGCTAATGATTAATGTTTATAATAATGATTGATAATTGTCCATGATCATCTCTATATCTAATTTGTATTATGACTATTCTTGTTCTAACTATTTTCTTTATTACACTGAAACAGTTTGTGCCTTCAGTCTCTTCCCTCGGCACCTGGGTAATCCTTTGCCCACAAGGGAGCACCAGATGTGGGACCTGAGCTTGTAAAGGGGCTGCTGCCCCTGATGTTGCCGGGCTCCTGTGCTGCTCGGCCTCTGACCCCTGGACCTTGTCTCGGGGCCTATCTTAAGCCCCTTGGAACTTGCTGGCTGCGCAGCTGCGATGTCCTCTTGGGTTCACTCACTGCGGTGCCAGCCATGACCAGCCCCTCCCCGCAGGTGCGGGTGGCACCCAGAGACTCACACGTGCTGTTGGGAAGTCGCTGGCAATGGAGATGGTCCTCACCGGTGACCGGATCTCAGCCCAGGATGCCAAGCAAGCAGGTATGGGTTGGGGCTGCCCACGGAAGCCACATGGAAACCCAGGGCGGCATCCAGGTGTCCCCCTCGCGGGAGCCCCCCAGAAACCCGGAGCGGCATCCAGGTGTCCCCCTCGCAGGAGCCCCACAGAAACCCGGGGCAGCATCCAGGTGCCTCCACGGTAGTTGTATGAGTTTTTGGGTCCTGAGGACCTGGGAGAAGACTGACTGCCTTTTGTTTTTACGTTTTGAAGTACTGTACGCGCAGAAGTGGAGCCACGCGTAAGTATCTGGTGCAGAAGAACAGCCCAGCAATTACGTCCCCAAAGTCCGGTGTAAGCAACGGGCGTCTCCGGGCCCTCACTGGCCAGTCCTCCCACTGCCCTATTGGGGATCATGGTCCCCGGGTCTGGCTGCCTCTGCCGTCGGAGCTATGGACAGCCTGGCCTGCATGTCTGAGAGCACAGGGACTGCAGTGCCAAGAGCGCTCCGCACTCAGGAAGGGGCACGTGCGGCACCTACCGTGTGGAGCCACCCTTGCTAATGCTCAGAGGCTGGGATGCTCCAGCACGCTGCTCCCCAGCGGCCACTCCCTTGAAAAGGAATAGACAAGCGCTCTGTCTGCACTCACTCACCGACATTCTTGTGTTTCAGGTCTCGTAAGCAAGATTTTTCCTGTTGAGACACTGGTGGAAGAAGCCATCCAGTGTGCAGAAAAAATTGCCAGCAATTCTAAAATTATAGTAGCCATGGCCAAAGAATCAGTGAATGCAGGTAGGGGATCCTGCCAGGAAGACAAGGTAGAGAGGTCTCCGTGGCTGTCAGGAGTATCCCTGAGGCGTCTCTGTGACTGTCAGGAGCCTTCCTGAGCGGCAGGCTTTCTGGCTCCGAAGGGATATGCCTTAAGCCCTCCTGGGCAGAAATGGTTCTCAGTGTCTCAGTTCTGCTGTCTGTAGAGTTGTGGTTTCTGGTCACGCCCTCAGGAACTCCACTGAGATGTTCCCGGCTCCCCTTTGTACCAGGGCCCAAGAACTGAACCAGGCCTGGGAGGTGAGGGCAGTACAGAGCTGACCATGGCAGGGAAAGGCTGAGAAGGGAGCCGAGGTCCCAAAAGTAAAATGGTCTCGCCCACGGGGAGGTTCGGTTCACCTCCCGGGACCTGGGGTCGGCGGCTGCGTCTGCGCCTGGCAGGTGGCTGCACAGGCTTGCAGGCCAACGCCACGCTCTTCATTCTTGGCCTGGATCCCTTTTCGTCTCCCTCTGCCAGGGAAGTAGATCTGATCTTCCCCCTCAGAAATGCTCAAGTTTTATTGTCACAACTTATTCTCAGCACGTGGAATGAGATGGGGGTTAGCTGGCTGAGTCCGGACAGGTGTGGGTGGCCCCAGGCAGGTCCCCTAACCTCTCAGTGCGTTTACCTCGAGGGCGTGGCCGTCCGCCGGGCTTGCTGTTGGCTTGAGGCAGGATACGGTGAGGAGAGCATTTTGAAAAAGAGGGAGGCTGCTGTTGCCCAGGGTGTTTGGCGAGGTCGGGCTCCTCTAGGAGAGGATGCTGGCTGCAGCCCTGGAACCACCGCGCCTGCCTCCGTCTGTGCATCCAGGTCTGCCCTGCTTGGCCTCGTGCAAAGAAGGGCCTGGAGTGAGCAGAGCCAAAGGCGTTCTTGGTGCCAGCCACGCCCAGCTCTGGCTCCCGTGCTGTCCTTCCTGGTTTCCATCCTTGTTTACTTTTCTCTGTTTGCAGCCCTGTTGCTGCCTCACAGCCTCTCCTCAAGGGCACAGTTCGCCATCTCACCTTTCATCCAGTTCCTGTCCCTTCCTTGGGGCCCTGGGCCACCCGAGTGTGACGTGTGGGGCCATAGGAGAGCTGTTGCTTTGGCAGGTCTCCGCTGGGGCAGTGCCTTTGAGAAGGGCAGCGCCGTGGAAGCCTGTGCAGGGCCGGGCCATGTCGGAAGCACAGTTGTGCGTGGGTCAGTGAGGAGGGAGGAGAAGTTCTGCATGGAATGTCTCCGTTCATAACTCTAGGACTTTGTTTTTCAGCTTTTGAAATGACGTTAACAGAAGGAAGTAAGTTAGAGAAGAAACTCTTCTACTCAACCTTTGCCACCGTGAGTAAACAGTGCAACTGGAGAATCTAGCAAATTTCAGTCACACAAGTTGCTGGGAATTTCCTTTTACATGTTATCATTAAGTATCATTTCTTTCTGGTCAGAACTGCCAGCCTCACGTTTAGTGGGATCAGATTTGTTCTATCAGTGGGTCTTGATGTTAGAAAAAAAGTAGAGCATGTGGAAGTTCAAAAGTATGAAACCTTACAGGGGCTTTTCTTGTCTTTCCTGTTATATGAGGTCTAGGAATTGCACCCTCAAGCAGCAGCTCCTTTTTTTTTGACATGGAGTCTCACTCTGTCGCCCCGGCTGGAGTGCAGTGGCGTGATCTCGGCTCACTGCAACCTCCACCTCCCGGGTTCACACTGTTCTCCTGCCTCAGCCTCGAGTAGCTGGGACTACAGGAGCTCACCACCACGCCCAACTAATTTTTTGTATTTTTAGTAGAGACGGGGTTTCACCGTGTTAGCCAGGATGGTCTCGATCTCCTGACCTTGTGATCCGCCCGCCTCGGCCTCCCACAGTGCTGGGATTACAGTCGTGAGCCACCACGCCTGGCCTGGCTACTTTATTTAAAATGCGGTTTCAGCTGGGTGTCATGCATCCATAGTCCCAGCTTCCTGGGAGGCTGAGGCGGGTTGTTCGAGTCCAACTGGTCAACAAAGCAAGACCCTGTCTCAAAAAAAAGACTTTTTTAAAAAATAAGGCCGGGCGCCTCATTTTAATTGTTCGGTAAAATTAAAAGTGGTTTGGGCACTTGAGGAAGGGGTACAGATGCGTGCGCGCCTGGGGACGCTTGCACACAACTTGAGAAAAGCAGATGCAGAATTGAGTTCTCATGTCCTGCTCCGACACAGGGTAGCCCCTGATACAGGTCACCCATCGTCCACTTGATGACTTGGTGAGTGACCCATACAGGTGCATCCGAGGCTCTTTAGATGTGAGCTTGTTTGACATACTCAAGCTCCTGAATGACCATCACCTAGACTGGTAGAAAGAGGCAGTGAAAATCCCCGCGCCCAGGCCCAGCTCTGCTTGGGCAGGTGTTCCTGCCGCTGAGTCCCCTGCCTGGCCCCCTGGGCCCCTGTGAGCACGAGGAGTGAGGCAGGACCAGGGAGACACGGGCGGACAGTGGCATCAGGCTCTGTGAGGATACTGCGTGTCCAGCTCTGTTTCTGCCCCTTTTCCTGCCAGGATGACCGGAAAGAAGGGATGACTGCGTTTGTGGAAAAGAGAAAGGCCAACTTCAAAGACCAGTGAGACCCAGCCGCCCCTCCCTCACACCTTTGCTTGGAGAGGACAAGTGCAGCCTGTCAGTTTTAGAAGCAAGTAAATCATCCTGTTTTCAAGAGCAGGGTCCGTGGTGCGCATTTCTCTCTGACTGCTGCGTGGTCACGGCCCGAGCTCTCATGGCATGACTGCCTTCTTCTCTCAGCCTGTGAGGGTCCGTGTTCACGCCCTGATTGGAGCACCTTCTTCTCAATCTTAAGACTCTGCTGAGGAGCCCCTGCTGGTCCCTCTGGGCATGCAGTGCTTGGGCGGAAAGCAGGGCCTGCGGGTCCTTGTGTCCCTGCCGCTGGAGAGGGGCTGCTCTGAGGGGAACACTGCTGCCTTCACACAGATGCTCTGCTGATTAAAGTGACAGCGATTCAGGTGACACCACGCCTTGTAGGTCATGTCTGGAATGAGTATTCTGTCATGTTAGTTGTTTTTTGTTTTTTGGGTTTTTTTTTAACTTTTTTATTTTTTCACTGTAAGGAACAACATTCAAAGAAAAAAGGTTTGTATAGTAAGTCGCCCCACATCATACTTCCTGGGTATCCACTGTGAACAGCTGGGCTTGTGGCTTCCTAGAGACTTCTGTGCGCACACACACACCCCTGCACACGTGCACAGGCGTGGACTGTGGTTTTGTTCCATGCCCACTTACGTAGAGCCCTTTCCTCACGAGAGCCCACCCTGTTTCCTTTGTACTTTTGTCATCAGGAGCTCTCTGTAAGTTTCACTGCTTTCTTCTCTGTGGTAACACACGACGTAAATTTGACCATCTTAACCATTGTTTTTTAGAGACGAGGCTAGAGTGCCGTGGTCAATCACAGCTTACTGCAGCCTGAATCTCCTGGGCTCAAGTTATCCTCCCCCTTCCCAAGTAGCTGGGGCCACAGGCCTGCACTACCACACCCAGCTAACTTTTAAAATCTATCTTTTGTAGAGATGGAGTCTCCCTGTGTTGCCCAGGCTGGTCTGAACCATTTTAAGTCCACATTTCAGCGGCATTAATACATTCTCCTTGTGCAGCCATTACTGTCTATCCAAGAAAGCTTTCATTTTCCCAAACGCAAACTGTCCCCATTAAACAATAACCCCTTTTCTGCTTCCCTCCAGCTCCTGGCACCCATGCTTCTACTTCCTGTTTCTATGGAGGGACCTCCATTTGTCCCTTTGGGTCAGGCTCGTTTCAGCCCCACCCCAGATCCCTGGGTTGAAATCCTAACCCCTACTGTGACTGCTTTAGGAGGGAGGACTTTGGGCAGTGACTAGTCATGAGGGCGGAGCTCCGCCAGTGGGATTAGTTCCCTATGAGGGAGCAGAGCTCAACCAGTGGGATTAGTGCCCTGTGAGGGGGCGGAGCTCCACCAATGGGATTAGTGCCCTGTGAGGGGGCGGAGCTCCTCCAGTGGGATTAGTGCCCTGTGAGGGCGGAGCTCCTCAGTGGGATTAGTGCCCTGTGAGGAGGCAGAGCTCCTCCAGTGGGATTAGTGGTCTATGAGGCGGAGCCTCGAGTGGGATTAGTGTTCTATGGGGCGGAGCTCCTCCCGGAAGTGGGATTAAGTGCCCTGTGAGGGGAGCTCCTCCAGTGAGTGGTGCCCTGTGAGGCGGAGCCCCTCCAGTGGGATTATTGTTCTGCTGTGAGGCGGAGCTCCTCCAGTGAAATTAGTGCTGAGGGGTGGAGGCCCCTCCTGGTACAGTTAGTGTTCTATGAGGCGGGCTCCTCAGTGGGATTAATTGCCCTGTGAGGGGCGGAGGGCTCCTCAGTGGGATTAGTGCCCTATGAGGCGGAGCCTCAGTGGGATTAGTGCTCTATGAGGGTGGAGCTCCTCATGAGGGGGCGGAGCCCCTCCAGTGGGATTAGTGCTCTATGAGGGGGTGGAGCTCCTCGAGTGGGATTAGTGCCCTATGAGAGGGTGGAGCTCTTTGGGATTAGTGCCTTATGAGAGGGCGGTGGTCTTCCAGTGGGATTATTGCCCTTAGGAGAGGCCCAAGGGCACTCTTTTGCCCCTCCCACCATGTGAGTGCTCTGTGGGAAGGTGCTGTCTGTGAACCATGGTGGGCCTCATCACACACTGAACCTACCTGGAGCCATGGCCTCCAGAACTGTGGAAAGTCAGTGTTTATCAGCCACGCAGACCATGCCACTGCATCACAGCAGCCCAAGCTAAGGCACATACTGTCCAGGTTTGTGCCTGTTGTGGCGTGTTTCACTATTTGATTTTTTTCACTGAATGACGATCCTATAACATTCTTTTTAGTGGCCCTGATGTTTCATACTGTGGACGTGTCATCGTGCCCATGGTTCTAGATATTTCCCCCAGGGAAGCCCACCTGCCCCCTAGCTCAGTGCAGACTCTCGAGAGTGTTCGCAGGTGTCTCCTCCACTTGGCCCTGCAGCTCGGTGTGGGTAGTGGCCTAGATTGTGGTCATGGCCTTGGGCTGGGTGGGCAGAGTGTGTGAGCCCCCACCCCTGAGTTCTTGGGCTGAATACCAAGGACAGGTTCACCTGCATCAAGAAGCACGGTGACCTTTGCTGAGCTCTGGCTCCCTGAATGCGGCAGGTGCCAGACCCGTGTGTCCGATTACATTTATGCTCAAAATGGGCACACGCGTGCTCTGCGACCGCGCTCGCCTTGCAAGCATTGGCTCTGCACTTCCACCCACCCCGTCTGTCCTGTGTGCCATGATTGGAGTCCACTAGTTCAGAGCTGCCTTTAGGGTGGAGCAGGTTTATCTCGCCTCTGCCAGGGCAGGTGGGAGTTCTCATGCAGTTTACCTTCAAACAGGCAGATGTTCTTTTCAGATAAGCCTTGGGATCTGGGACTGTTTGACAAATACTGAAATAGGTACAAAAGGAGTTTAATTCAGGTCCAACAGGGCAGAACAGGCTCTTCCCTCGGGGCAGGGAACCTGGAACCTGCTCACTTACTGGAGTGAAGCACATGGAGGTTCGAGCAGGTCATGAACCACTGGCACTGGAGCCTGGAGTAAACACGCAGGGATAGATAGGCACCAAATGTTCAAGTATCCAAGGGAAGAAGCCTGAACATTGAGAAAATCCACTCCGTTTAATTTTTCATGTGCACTGGGTTCAGCCTCCATAATTTGATTTCAAGCAATGGAACCCCAGAGATCTGGAGGGCCGGTTACAGCCTCATGTTCATACCTGTGTCAGCCACGCTTGGCTGGAAGCCGCGTCTCAGAGGTCTGCGTCTCAGTTATCTGGTTCCAGAGCTTGGCAGGGACAGGCGCCCAACCTGTAGGCTGGGGAATGGACCTTGTCTTCATGCTGGCCCCAGGGAGCCTGGAGCGGGGGTGCCACTGTCCCACGCGGGGGGACCCCAGGCGCAGAGTGAGGCTTCCCCTCCTGAGCTCGGTGACCTCTGGCCCCAGTGTTGTTTGGGGTTTGATTAGGTGTTTTTTGTTTGTTTTGTTTTGTTTTTTTTTTTGAGACAGAGTCTCTGTCACCCAGGCTGGAGAGCAGTGGAGTAATCTCAGCTCACTGCACCCTCCACCCTCCGGGTTCAAGCGATTCTCGTGCCTCAGCCTCCCAAGTAGCTGGGATTACAGGCGCCAGTCACCACACCGGCATAATTTTTGTATATTTTGAAGAGACGGGCTTTCACCATATTGGCCAGGCTGGTCTCCAACCCCTGACCTCAGGTGATCCACCCGCCTCAGCCTCCCAAAGTGCTGGGATTACAGGTGTTGAGTCACCGTGCCCGACCTGATTTGGTTTTGAAGCTGAAAACTTTCTTGCCCATCTCTGTAAAATTAGCTTGCCCTTGTATATTTGGGTAAACGGTGACTCTCCACTTACAGGTTGGAGTAGAAACTGCCCAGGGACAGCTCCGAACCCCGGTGGCCTCGGTGCAAAGCCACCCTCATCGGCAGGCCCTGGGTAGCCCCAGTCTTCTCTCTGCCCGAGCGGCCAGCCCAGGGCCAGCTCTTCAGGTGCTGCTGGGTGCCAGCCTGGGTGGCCCCACCAGGCTTTTCCGACGCAGCCCAGGCCACTTCCCGTGGGGACAGGCTCCTAGGGCCAAGCAGTTCAACATGGAGACGTCTGTTTCCTCTGGGTTTTCTGAGGCAGCTTTGTCATTTTTCACATACAGATTGATTTTCAGAACTTTTTAGGAGCCACCAGGCCTCGGAGCATTTGTGTCACCTCAGGGCTGAGGGCCAGGGCCACAGAGCTGGCCCCACAGCTAGCGTCCAGCTGGGAATCAGGTGGAAGAAGATGGCTCTGCGGAGGAAGGGCCCGGCCAGCCCGAGCCCAGCCAAAGGTCAGGACGCTGCCCTCCTGGGAAGGGGGTTGCAGGCCGCTGACACCGGGGGATGACGGAGGACCCTTAGGTGTCCTGGCACTCGCGGCTGAGCCTGGAAGCTGGGCCTGGCTGCCCTCCTGGACCCCCTCCAGGGGGTCTAATGTCCCGGCTCCCGTGTCCCGTGCTCCCGCCCCTCAGGAGCGTGGGCTGAAGGCCTGGGTCCAGCTGCCTGCCCTGGTGACCCCAGGGACCCGGTGCGCTCCGGCCATTCTGCCAGGCCTGAGGGCAGCACGATGTGGTCAGAGGGCAGAGACCCTCATGAGGGGAGGCCGCAGAGGGCGGCAGTTGAACCCCTTCTGCCTGAGGGAGCTCGAGGTGGGAAGTCGGGTAGGGACACTGGGGAGCCCCGGCCATGGCGCGCGGGCGCCCGAGTCTCGGACCTGGCGAGGCGCCCGTGGGTTGGGTGGGTGTTGCCCCCACGCCCCGACTCAGTCCGAGCGTCCCCAGTTCCCGGGGCTCCCCGCCCTTCCAAGAGCCATAAGCGGACCCCAGCCCCGAACCCTAGCCCCGGCGGATCCCCCAGCCCCGAGCCCCAAGCCCGGGACCCAAAAGCCAGTCCTCCCCACAAACCCCGCCCCCCGTGTAAAACCCCGCCCCGGCCCGTAAACCCCGCCCTCCCCGCAAGGCCCCGCCCCGTCCGCCGGGCCATGGTGGCGCTGAAGGGTGTCCCCGCGCTGCTGTCCCCCGAGCTGCTCTACGCGCTGGCGCGCATGGGGCACGGGGACGAGATCGGTGAGCGCTGCGGGCCGGGGCCGCGGGGACCACCCCGGGGCAGGCGGGCGGGCGAGGCTTGCGCGGGGACCCCCGGGCCGAGAAGGGCCGGGTCCTGGGGTGGGGGCGTCGCTCGGGCCTCCCTGGCTTCCCCCGCGTTCTTCAGGGAACCGCGACCTCGTGGGGCTCTGGGCGGGGCCGGCCGGAGCTTCTCCCCGAGTCCCTCCCCAGACGGCCCGAGAGGGTTCGGCGCTTTTTCTTCTCCTGGGGCCTGGTCCGGGCATCGCGGGCGGCTGCGGGTCCTCTGGCCCCTGGGGAGGCGGCCGGGTCCGGGTCGCCCCCTGGCCTGGGCAGCACCCGACAGCCTGGAAAACCGGGCAGCTGTTGACGCCTCTCCGCCTCCCAGGCAGGGACCTTGCCCTCCCCGCCTCCCCGCCTCCCCGCCTCCCCGCCTGGCTTCCAGCCCTGCAGACTGACTGCGGCCGGCGGTGGGGGCGCCCAACCGGCTGACCTGAGACCCTTGTGGCCACGATCTGCCGCCGGGACTGGGGGGGAGGATGGGCGGCGCCGACCCCGAGGGCAGGGATAGGTGCTGACCCCGCGCTGTCCTCCCGGCTGTTTAGTTCTTGCGGACTTGAACTTCCCGGCCTCCTCCATCTGCCAGTGTGGGCCCCTGGAGATCCGTGCAGATGGTGAGCCAGCCCCAGGTCCCCCAGGGCAGGGCAGGCGGGTGAGCAGTGCTCCTGGCTCTGAGGCTCCTCTGTGGCCTGTGGTGGCCCCAAGTCCGTGCTTGCAGTGTGGAGGGTGCAGGCCGGCTGGAGACTGAGTGCCACCCCCTCTGCCCTCCAGGTCTGGGCATCCCGCCGCTCCTGGAGGCCCTGCTGAAGCTGCTCCCCCTGGACACCTATGTGGAGAGTCCGGTGAGGGCTGAGTCGCCCCTGCACCCTGCTGCTCCGCGCCTCGGTTTCCCCCTTTGTGGGCTTCATAGGGCCCACCTGCCTTGGAGTGGGGGGGAGAAGCCATATGTCCCCAAGGGGCCCTGATCCTCACCAGGGGAGTCCTGAATGGTCACCTGACCAGGAAGGCTGGCAGCACCCAGGGCCCCAGAGCTGACCCCTCCCTCTAGGCTGCAGTCATGGACCTGGTGCCCAGTGACAAGGAGAGGGGCCTGCAGACCCCAGTGTGGACGGAGTACGAGTCCATTCTACACAGGGCCGGCTGCACGGTGAGCCTGCAGCCCCAGTTGTGGGGAAAGGGCCAGGGACCCTCTGTCTCCTGGAGGCTCAGTGGGAGCCAAAGACAGGGTCCCAAGCTCTGTCCTCAAGCGGTTTCCCACCCATCACCCTGAGAACCCCGGACCACCGGCGCTCCCTCACCAGCCGGGTGGAAGAGGTGCGCATGGGCAGTGTGGCCCCTTGTCCTCTGCCCCCCGAGCTTTCCACCTGCCCCACAACCCCGCCCAGGATCCTGACCTGCCGGGGCGAGGTGGGAGGGGTCCTCACCCACCACAGCCTGTGAGTGAAGCCTGGAGGACGAAGGATGCCTGGCCTCCACCTCCTCAGTCTCCCCTGGGGGAGTACCCCCTGGTCCCAGGTCTCTCGCCCCATCCTGGCTATGGTTGGTCAGAGGCCTAGCCCCCTCCTCACCTTGCCCTGCAAGGGGACAGGCCCATTCTCCCGGGCAACCCACTGGCAGGTCTCAGGCAGGGCCTCCATAAGGGGAGGCCAGGGGCTCTCGTCCTGGGCAGGGGACCCCCTAGGACAGCTGGCAGGGGCTTGACAGTCTGCGGAGCTGGCTGGGTGGTCCCAGGCCAGGCAGAAACCAAGCATGGCAGGTTCCTCATCCACAATGTCCTGGGGCCCCCGTCCTAGGCCTCGGGAGCCAGAGGCTGAGTGACCCTGGGGCCCCTGCAGAGGAAGAGCCCAAGAAATGGAACTCAGGGGCCCCACTTCCTGGTGCTCCCCTACTTGGGGCCCTGCGGAGTCCAGGGCTGGCCCATGAGGGTTTCTGGACAGGGTTTCCTCCAACCCTGGCATTTTGTCTTCCAGAGAGCCCTGGCAAAGTTAGAGAGGTTCGAGTTTTATGAGCGAGCTAAGAAGGCTTTTGCTGTTGTGGCAACGGGGTGAGTTCCAGCTGACTCAGACCTGTCCCCGTCCCCACCGGGCCCTCAGGAGCTGCCCCCATCCCCACCGGTCCCTCAGGAGCTGCCCCCGTCCCCACCAGGCCCTCAGGAGCTGTCCCCGTCCCCACCGGGGCCTCAGGAGCTGTCCCCGTCCCACCGGGCCAGGAGCTGCCCCGTCCCCACCGGGCCTCAGGAGCTGCCCCAGATCCCCACCAGGCCCTCCAGGAGCTGTCCCCGTCCCCACCGGGCCAGGAGCTGCCCCGTCCCACCGGGGCCTCCAGGAGCTGTCCGTCCCCACCGGGGCCTCGGGAAGCTGCCCCGTCCCCACCGGGGCCTCCCGAGCTGCCCCCGTCCCACGGGTCCCTCAGGAGCTGCCCCCCGTCCCCACCGGGTCTCAGGAGCTGCCCCCGTCCCCACCGGGGCCTCAGGAGCTGCCCCTACCCTCTTCTCAGCTTCTGCCTGGCTGAGGCTAGATGTCTCACAGAGTGCAGACACCAGGGGAGAATTTGAGACAGGGCCCCATTTGCCTGAGCATCAAGTGGGTGAAGGTGGACGGGTCACCTATCCCATCCCCCAGAGGCTGGAGCAGGGTCTCACACCTGGCCCTGCAGCCCAGCTCAGTGCTGGGCTTGGCTCCTCTGCAGGGAGACGGCCCTCTACGGAAACCTCATCCTCAAGAAGGGGTGCTTGCCCTCAAGCCCCCTGCACCAGGCCTGGTGAAGACCACCTGGGCCAGAAGAAGGAGGAGTGGGGGCACCCTGAGCTCGTACCACCACTCACAACAGGCCTCCCAGCGGCCAGCCCCAGACCCTGGGCCTGGCCAGAGGCTCTGGGAGCCCGACAGTCGTAAGGGTGGGCCCTGCACCCAATTGGTACGGGAAGCGTCCCTGGTTGTGAAAATCATGGAAGAGCGTGGTCGCGGTAAGCGTTCAGTCTAAAGGTTTTAATTCTGTTGTCACTCAGACTTGTTTGGTGCTGAGCTCAAGGGAGGCTGCTGGCTCCCAGAGAGGGCCCCCATTACCCTTGACAAAACCTTGGTGGGAAATCAGGCCAGGGCCCTGGGAGGCTGAAGCGGGTGCCTGGGGCCTGGGGTCTGCATGGAGTGCCTGGGCCTGGGGACACCAAGGGGGCTGGAGTGGGGCAGTGGCTGCCCTGGAGGCCTTGAGAGGGTGAGGCTTCTGCCACAGCCTCTGGGCTGGCTGTGGACACTGAGAGGATTCTTCACCCAGGTCCATTCTTTCCGCCCAGCAGGAGGACAGGTGGCAGGGACTGGCCTGGACACTTGGGAGGAGCTGGCGGGAGGCTTTCTGTTGAGAGGTGCCGGCTGGACAGGCCTGGGTGTGGGCCATACCCTGTGGCAGTAGGTGGCTGCCCCCCGTCCCCACCGGGGCCTCAGGAGCTGCCCCCGTCCCCACCGGGTCCCTCAGGAGCTGCCCCCGTCCCCACCGGGCCCTCAGGAGCTGCCCCCGTCCCCACCGGGGCCTCAGGAGCTGCCCCTACCCTCTTCTCAGCTTCTGCCTGGCTGAGGCTAGATGTCTCACAGAGTGCAGACACCAGGGAGGAATTTGGGGGACAGGGCCCCCATTTGCCTGAGCATCAAGTGGGTGAAGGTGGACGGGGTCTGCTCCATCCCCCAGAGGCTGGAGCAGGGTCTCCACACCCTGGCCCTGCAGCCCAGCTCAGTGCTGGGCTTGGCTCCTCTGCAGGGAGACGGCCCTCTACGGAAACCTCATCCTCAAGAAGGGGGTGCTTGCCCTCAGCCCCCTGCTGTAGGCCTGGTGAAGACCACCTGGGCCAGAAGAGGAATTGGGGGCACCCTGAGCTCCGGTACCACCACTCACAACAGGCCTCCCAGCGGCAGCCCCAGACCTGGGCCCTGGCCAGGGCTCTAGGGGGCCGGCAGTCATGGGGTGGGCCCTGCCAATTGGTACGAACGTCCCTGATTTGTGAAAATCATGGAAAAACGTAGTCGCCGGTAAACGTTCAGTCTAAAGGTTTTAATTCTGTTGTCACTCAGACTTGTTTGGTGCTGAGCTCAAGGGAGGCTGCTGGCTCCAGAGAGGGCCCCCCACGTACCCTTGACAAAACCTTGAGTGGGAAATCAGGCCTGGGGCCCTGGAGGCTGGGCGGGTGCCTGGGGCCCTGGGGTCTGCATGGGTGCCTGGGCCCTGGGGACACCAAGGGCTGGAGTGGGGGCAGTGGCTGCCCTGGAGGCCTTGAGAGGGGTGAAGGCTTCTGCCACAGCCTCTGGGCTGTGGACACTAAGGGGATTCTTCACCCAGGTCCATTCTTTCCGCCCAGCAGGAGGACAGGTGGCAGGGACTGGCCTGGACACTTCGGGAGGAACTGTGGGAGCTCTGTTGAGGGAGGTGCCGGCTGGACAGGCCTGGGTGTGGGCCATGCCCTGTGCTTGTGGCAGTAGGTGGCTGCCTGCTGGAAGCCTCACTTGCCCTGGCAGGCAGGGGAGGTAAAGGACACGAGGTCATTTGGAGCCCGGTGCTGGGCAGAGGTGGGATGCAGGGGGTTCCTGAAAGGGGGCACCTGGGAGGCTTCCCTATGGGATGCTTGGACTGGTCTCCAAGGATGGGGAAGAATAACCACCAGACACTTTCCAGACCCTGGGCCTCTCCCTAGGACCCTCCCCCTGCTCCCCAGAACTTGCCTCAGTGACAGGTACAGGAGGAAGATGGGGCAGGGCTGGAGTTTGAGGGACCAAGGGCAGGAGCGGGGATGACAGGTGCTCCCCCAGGGCCAGGGGCTGGTGTCCCCGGGGTTCCAGGGGGCAAGTCCCAGGGTCCCAGACCCACACTCCGGACCACAGGAGAACCTTGGGAGTGCGGGCAAACCCCCCCCAGCTGAGATCTGGCTCCAAGTCTGGGGAAGGGATCCTGTCTGGGCTTGGCTGTAGACTCTGGGGACCTGTCCGCCTGCTGCCCCCAGATGGCAGCCAAGGCCTTCTCCGTGCTCACTAGCGGTCAGCCTTGGCCCCATGGGCCTCGCGCTTGCCTGGCCAGTCACTGCCCGTCTCCAGACCCCATGGCCACGTTGTGGTCTGACATCAGAAGTGTGCGAGCTGATTGCACACACCCTCGCCCATCCCCAGTTTCAGCCCCGCAGATGGGCCTCTGGGGCTAGGGTGCCCTCTTTAGCATTTTATGTAAATGAAATCATATATGAGCAAACTAATGAAATCATGAGAAAAAACGAAGTAATGGGCAAAACAAAATAAAATCAAGATAGCTTTAAAAAAAAAAAAAAAGGCCGGGGTTGGTGGCTCAAGCCTGTAATCCCAGCACTTTGGGAGGCTGAGATGGGCGGATCACGAGGTCAAGAGATCGAGACCATCCTGGATAATACGGTGAAACCCTGTCTCTACTAAAAAATACAAAAAAAAACCTAGCCGGGCAAGGTGGCGGGCGCCTGTAGTCCCAGCTACTTGGGAGGCTGAGGCTGGAGAATGGCGTAAGCCCGGGAGGCGGAGCTTGCAGTGAGCTGAGATCCGGCCACTGCACTCCAGCCTGGGCTACAGAGCGAGACTCCATCTCAAAAAAAAAAAAAAAAAAAAAAGCCACAAGCCACGAAAGCACAACTTGTTTCTGAGGGCCCAGGCCTCTCGACCAGTCCCAAGTGCTGCACAGAGGCCCAGCAGGGCGGGAAAGAGAGCTGCAGGCCTCCACAGGCGTGTTGATCCCTCAATACCCTTCCACCACCATGTTATCAAGGATGACCGGGGAAGCTGCAGAGGAGGCGAGGGAGCTAGCTCTGGCCCTTTCAGGACAGAACCTCAAAGTGCTAGCTCTCCAGCTGCATCCAAGCAGGGTAACAGCTCTTGCAATGTGGATGCCATGAGGCACCCTTGGGCAGTTACTCTCGCGTTTTGTGTGTCCTGGAGAGGCTGAGACTTGCTGGCGGTGCAGGGAATCTTCCGCACCTGGGCAGGCAAACCCTCGGCCCCTGAGTGGCCGCACAAGGGCTGAAGCACCGCGACAGGATGGAGGTTTGGAGTGGCCTCTACCACCACTCTGTTATTGTCTTAGCTGCTGGAGCTGGCAAGTGTGTGGCTCAGCCCAGGCTTGCTTTCCAGGTGCTTCTCTCACACCATAAGGATGAAATTTGCCACGCAGGAACCCCACCCTTATTTGCGTAATGCTTACGACAGCATTGGTGAGTGACTGCAGTGTGGAGGCCTGCTGAATGAAGAAAGGCAGGCAGGATGGGCACCCAGAGTGGGAGCACTGAGAATCGGGAGGGCCTTGTTTGAAAAGACCACGTCCACAGGCCTGGGTCTGCCCTCTCAGTTGTGCTGGCGGGGGAGGATGAGTGAATCCCGGGGGGGTGGGCTGGCAGTGCGATGAGTTCCGGCCACTGCACACCAGCCTTGGCAAAAGAGGCAAAACCCAAAAAAAAAAAAAAAAAAAAAAAAAAAAGCCACAAACACCAGCTTGGGCTGTCTAGGGCCAGACCCTCCTGCGACCCCGGAGATCCAGGGTCTTCTCCCTGCCTGGGGCCCCAGGAGCGGGGAAGGAGCTGCCCAGACCTCCACCCTGAGCGTGTTGATCCCTCAATGCCCTTCCACCCCATGTTCTTATCAGGATGACAGGGGAAGCTGCCAAGAGGGAGACGGGGAGCCCAGCTCTGGCCCTTTCAGGACAGAACCTCAAAGGTCACTGGCCTCTCCAGCTCATCCATAAGCCAGGGTAACAGCTCTTGCAATGTGGGATGCCATGGGGCACCCTTGGGCAGTTACTCTCAGCCGTTTGTGTCCTGGGAGAGCGGGGGACTTGCTGGCGGTGCAGGGAGCTCTTCCGCACCTGGGCAAACCCTCGGCCCCCTGAGTGGCCGCACAAGGGCTGAGCACGGCAGGATGGAGGTTTGGGTGGCCTCTCTCCCTTACTCTGTTGTGTCTTAGCTGCTGGAGCTGGCAAATGTGTGTGGCTCAGCCCCAGGCTTGGCACCAGGTGCTTCTCTCACACCATAGGGATGAAATTGCCACGCAGGAACCCCACCCATATTTGCATGTGCCCACGACACGTGGCGTGTGAGTGACTGCAGCATTGGGCCTGCTGGGCCAGGCAGGGCAGGATGGGCACCCAGAGTGGGAGCCGCACAGAACGTCAGGAGGGCAGAAAGACCACGTCCTGGGCCTGGGTCTGCCCCTCTCACCTGAGACCTGTGCACCTTCCACCTGAGCACATGCCCGTCCGTCCAGCTGGACCCTGAGCCCCAGGCACTCGGCCTCCCTCCTCCCCTGGCCCTGTCTCCAGCCCCTGCTGTGGGGAGCCCAGGGTGAGTTCTTTCTCGGCTGAGACTGGTCCCACGGGTGCCCTCTGGTCCCAGCCCCTAACTGCTGCCACACCCCTCAGCATCCTGGTATACAAGGAGGGGGCCTGGGGGTAGTGCAACGGTCTAGGAGCCAGGGGTCACCTGGGCCTTGTGCAGCCCTTCATTCTCCTGGGCAGAGCAGGCTGGGCCCTGGTCACCGGTCTTCCAGGGCGTGTGGCCTCCTCTCTTTGCAGGGGTTTATTATTTATTATTTATTTTTTTGAGACGAAGTCTTGCTCTGTTGCCCAGCCTGGAGTGCAATGGCGCGATCTCAGCTCAGTGCAACCTCCACCTCCCAGATTCAAGCGATTCTCCTGACTCAGCCTCCCAAGTAGCTGGGATTACAGGCGCCTGGCACCATACCCAGCTAATTTTTGTATTTTTAGTAGAGACGGGATTTTACCATGTTGCCCAGGCTGGTCTGGAGCTCCTGATTTCAGGTGATCCGCCCGCCTCAGCCTCCAAGAGTGCTGGGATTACAGGCATGAGCCACCTCGCCCGGCCTGCTGGGGTTTATTTGCCTACCTCTGGCAGGGGGAGGGTAGGAAGGGTTCCAGTCCCAACAGCCTGGGCTGTGGGACAGGGAGGGGCAGTGGTGGCCCCTGGAGCCCTACTGGGGGTGGTAGATGTGGTCTTGGTCTTCCTCCGGTCCCTGGAGCACCTGGCGATTTGGCATCACCCACAACTGAGGCCCCTCCTCGCCCTGGTCCTCCTCGGGCGGAGGGTGGTGCAGGCTGTCATGGTCGGGCTCAGGACCCTGCTGGGGGCTTAGGACATGGCCCAGGATGTCCTCAGTCTCCACCCAGGCCTCGAGGCCTAGGGACAAGCAGATGAAGGGATAGCCTCAGTTTCTCTCCCGAGACCCTTGGTCTGTCCAAGCCAACCCCACGAGCAGGCTTTGCTGCTGTGGCCTGGTGCCCACCTGGAAGGACGGGGCACCTGCCCTGACCTGGTGACTTCTCAGCGGTCAAGAGCTTCGGCTTCGGGACAGGGAGCAGCCCCACCAGCTGGTCGTCCTTCTCTGGAGGCTCCACCACGCGGGCGCCCCAGGCCCTGCTGGCACAGTTCGGTCTTGTCCACATGCAGGTGGGGGAGGGGGACAGAACCCCCTGCAGGAGGGTGCCCACCATCCCGGGGCAGCCACTCCAGCCCCCACCACCAGCAGCCCCAGGACAAGCCCTCTCTCAAGAGCCGCAGTGATGAGTGGCCCCCACAGTGCTGCCGGCCAGGCTTCCACACCACGTCCCTGGGCCACTGGGTCGGGGGCAGTGGTCAGTGCCTTGGTTGAGCAGCGTCCCAAAGACGTGGATGTGGGGAAACCTCAGGAGCCAAGACTGAGCCACCCTGGCTGCAGCCACCGGCCGTGGGGTACAAGCTGCCCTGGAGGCCGTGGGGAAGCTGAGCTGGGGGACGCCCGGGAGCCCCAAGCCCTCCGGCTGTACTCCCTTCTCCCTGCACGGGGGCTGTTGACAGATCCCCATGAGGCTGGAGTGCCGCCTCCTTCCAAAAGCTGCTGGACAGGGTTCCCCTCTGCATCCTTCTCGTGCACTCCAGGTTCAGGAAGGGCCCAGAAGAACCGGCCGTAGCTTCAGGGAATGGCGGGGGTGCGGATGGGCAGGTGGGGCTGAGGGGACTTACTTCTCTGCCTCCTGCTCTGAGGGCCGGTGTTTGACTTGGACCTTGACAGGGAGAGTCACAGGTGTGGGCTCAGCCACAGTCCACACGGATGGAGGACACCTAGGGAGAGGCTGCTCCGAGGCCCACCTGGGGCTGCAGGGGGTGGGGACAGGGCCAGCTCGGCACAGCCCGAGCGTCTCTAGTGGGTTTACCACTCTCGGGTGTCGGGACTGCAAGCCGGGAGTGAGGCTGCTGGCCTGTGCCCAGATGACCAGCTGGCCTGGAATTCTGACCGGGCCTGGGGTGGCACAGGACTGGGATGTAACCTGGCACAATACCCCGACCTAGCTCTCCCCACCCCAGCTGTCAGCGCACTGGCTGGTTTCTGAGGTGACTGGTTGGGGCTGTGTCTCCCCCCTGGCAGGTGCCTAGAGAAGGCGGTCAGCTGCTCCGAGCCCAGCTAACCTTAGTTGTCAGCTGCTCTAAGCCCAGCCACCCTCAGTGGGGCAAAGGACAAACAGGAGAGCAAAGCAGGTGACCCCAGTGGAGGACCACTGGGGAGGACCAGTGATCTCAGTGGAGGATCAGTGACCCCAGCAGAGGACCAGTGACCCCAGGGGAGGACCAGTAACCCCAGCAGAGGACCAGTGACCCCAGGGGAGGACCAGTGATCTCAGTTCTGAGGTGACTGGGTTGGGGCTGTGTCTCCTGGCAGGTGCGTTTCAGAGAAGGCGGCCAGCTGCTCCGAGCCCAGCTAACCTTAGTTGTCAGCTGCTCTAAGCCCAGCCACCTCAGTGGGCAAAAGGACAAACAGCAGGAGAGCAAAAGCAGGTGACTCAGGAGGACCACCGGGGAGGACCAGTGATTCCCAGTGGGAGGACTCAGTGACCCCAGCAGAGACCAGTGACCCCAGGAGGACCAGTAACCCCAGCAGAGGACCAGTGACTCCCAGGAGGACCAGTGATCTCAAAGTGAGGACCAGTGACCCTGGCAGACCAGCACCCAGGAGGACCAGTGACCAGCAGAGGACCAGTGACCCCAGGAGTGACCAGTGATCTCAGCGGAGGACCAGTGACTCCTGGGGAGGACTCCCAGTGATCTCAGCAGAGGACCATGACTCCCCGGGAGGACCAGTGACTTAGGAGACCAGTGATCTCAGCGAGGACTGTGTGACCCCGGGAGGACCAGTGACTCCCGGGAGGACCAGTGATCTCAGCAGAGGACCAGTGACCCCAGGAGAGGACCAGTGACCCCGGGGAGGACCAGTGACCCCGGGGAGGACCAGTGATCTCAGCGGAGGACCAGTGACCCCAGGGAGGACCAGTGACCCCAGGGGAGGACCAGCACCGTGGGAGGCTGTGCCCATGTTCCTGCGTCTCCAGTCAAGGAAGGCGTGGGCCTCCTTCCTCCTGATCCGTGCCAAGTGTGCAAGACTGAGTGGTCTTGACATGGGCCAGGGAACAGGGCACATCCCCAGCCATAGTCCCAGCCAAGGACACCACTGTCAGCACAGACAGTGCAGCTGAGCTGCCGGCACATGGAGTCACCTCTAGCCTTCAGGGCCCAGGTGAGCATCAAGGGGTGTCATCCGGGCCCCCCTCCACCTGAGATCACGTGGGTTCATCTGGCCCCACCTCCTCCACCTGGGACCTCCTGGGTGTCCGAGGCCTGTCCATCTGACCCCAGTGAAGGGAAGCCTGCCCCCTCCTCATCCTCAGGTGCCCAGGCATCAAGAGTCATGAGCGCACCCGCGCCTCTCTCCTAGGCCAGCCTGGGGTTTGAAGACGGAAGAGGGGACCTTTGTCCACATCCCCTGCTGTGGGGGCAGAAGGTGACAACTGGAGTTGGTGGCCAGATGGGAGGGGCTCACACCTACCTTGGGTGCTGAGGGCGCACCTGCCTCCCACAGCAGCACAGCCACCAGGCTGGTAACCATGAGGACCCTGAGGGGGGCCAGAGAGGAAAGTGTGGGGTAGGGGAAGGGCCGAGCCTGGCCATCAGTCCCGCCTCCCCTGAACTCTAGGCAGCACCCAACGGGCAGCTGGGAGGCCTGGGCTGGGTTCTTCCTTGGGAGGGCAAGTGGTTTTACTGGACTCTGCTCACATGGGCCAACACACAGGCACAGAGCGGGGAGAAGCCCCAGGCCCACCTGCCTCCAGCCCCTCTCAGGCCAGAGCCCACAGCCCCAGCCCCAGACCCTGCTCCCCACAGTCTGGGCGGACCCCACTGTGGCAGGCACTGGTGGTTGGCTCGGAAACTCCAGAGGTTCTGCCGCGCCTTTCTGCCGCCCTCCACGTGGGGACACGTGAACACACTTGCACACAGATTTGGGTATGGGAGGGTATGGCGCAGCGGGGGGCCCACAGCCCCACACCCACAGAGCCCTGAGGCTGCACACTGCCGCAGGTGGGCACGCGCTGTGTCCCAGAGCTGCGGGGCCATGGCTGGAGGGCTCAGGGGTGCATGGCAGCACTGTTAGGCAGGCAGGCAGGGTGTCAGGTCTGTTTGGACACGGGACGTGTGTGTTTGTGTATGTGGTGGGGGGTGTGCATATATGTTGTATGTGCACATGTGTTTTGTGGGTGTGGACTGTGTGCATGGTGGGTGTGCGTGTATGCTGTGGGTGGTGTGTTTGGGTGTGTGTGCACTGTGTGCTTGAGTGTGCGTGGTGGATGTGTATGTTGTGCATGGTGTGGAGTGTGTGGGTTTGGGAGTCCGTGTGCTGTGTGTATGTTATGTGTGTTGTGTGTGTGATGGATGCATGTGTATGTTTTGTGTGGTGTGGAGTGTGTGGGCTTGGGTGTGTGTGTGTGCTGTGTGCGTGCGTGTGCCTGGTAGATATGCATGTATCTTCTGTGTGTTTGGGGAGTGTGTGTGGTGTGTGTGTAGTGGATGAATGTGTATGTTGTGTGTGGAGTGTGAGGGTTTCGGGATGTCTGTGCTGTGTGCATGTGTGTGCTTGTGTGTGTATTGGATCCGTATGTTGTGTGTGGTGTGGAGCGTGAGGGTTTAGGGGTGTACGTGTGCTGTGTGCATGCGTGTGTGCATGTGTGTGTGTGTGCGTGTGTTGGATGCATATGTATGTTGTGTCTGGTGTGGAGCATGTATGTTGTGTCTGGTGTGGAGCATGAGGGTTTGGGGTGGGTGTGTGCTGTGTGCATGCATGCTGTGTGTGTGCAGGCATGTGTATGCACGTGTGTGTGCACGTGTGCGTGGGCGTGTGTGGTGTGATGTAGAGTGAGGGTTTGGGAGTGTGTGTGCATGCGTGTGTGTGTGCGTGTGTGTGTGTGCATGCGTGTGTGTGTGCGTGCGTGTGCGCACACGTGTATGTGCGTGGGCGTGTGTGGTGTGGTGCAGTCTCGTCTCTTCAGGCCCCTGCGGGGGAGGCTTCTGTCTGGGGAGGCTTCGGTCTCTCAGGGTGGGGTGGTCTTGGGGGTGGGGTGAGGCTCTGGGTCTGCATGGGGCTCAGCATGGCTGCAGTCAAGGGTGTCTGGGGCTGGGCGTGGTGGTTCACACCCATAATCCCAGAACTTTGGGAGGCCGAGGTGGGCAGATCACCTGAGGTCAGGAGTTTGAAACCAGCCTGGCCAACATGGCAAAACTCCGTCTCTACTGAAAATATGAAACTGCCCGGGCGCCGTGGCTCATGCCTGTAATCCCAGCACTTGGGGAGGCTGAGGCAACAGACCACTTGAGGTTAGGCATTTGGAACCAGCCTGGCCAACATGGTGAAACCTCATCTCTACTAAAAATACAAAAAAAAAAAAAAAACTTAGCCAGGCCTGGTGGCAGGTGCCTGTAATCCTAGCTACTTGGGAGGCTGAGGCCAGAGAATCGCTTGAACCTGGGAGGTGGAGGTTGCAGTAAGCCAAGATCGAGCCACTGCACTCACTCCAGCCTGGGCGACAGAGCGAGACTGTCTCAAAAAAAAAAAAAAAACCCCACTTAGCTGGGGTGGTGGCACAAGCCTGTAATCCCAGCTACTTCTGCAGAGGCAGAAGAGTCAGTGTCTGGGATGCCCTACAGGCCTGGATTGCAGCTCCACAGGGACCTTTGCCCCTTTTCCGGGTGACTCAGCCACAATGGGAGGAGGTCAAAGGGCAGGGGGTATGCCCCAGACAGCCCGGGGTCGGGGCCTGGCCTGGTCTGGTTCGGGGGCCCTGCTTCTCCTCAGGACCCCCAGCTGGTTCTGATGCTGGGCAGGGGCTCTTGTCCGGGCATTGGACCCCACTCCCACTGCCGTGCTGCCTGGGCCACCCCCAGAGCCCACCTCCCCAACACACAGCCTGGGGCCCAGAATTCAGGACACGGTAGCCCGAGAACAATGGTGGTGGTGACTGCCAGGCAGCCAGACTGTGGGACTCCGAGGGTCCCCTCTCCAGGCAAATGGCTCTGGGCACCAAAGGATCCCCATGCCACCCAAAGGCCACCTCTCTACAAGGGAGAAACACCAGGAGAGGAGGGGCAGGGAGGGCCCTGGCTCAAAGGAGGAGGAAGAGGAGGAGGGGGGGGACCCCCACAGAAGGAGGGGGAAGAGGGACACCCCCACAGAAGGAAGGCAGTCTCTGATTCCAGGATCCAGCAGGAACCTGGATGCTTCCCTGAGCTCCAAATCACAGCCACGCCCTGGCCCCAGCCCCCTTCCTGTTGGGCAGTCACAGGCCTGCTGGTTTCAGCCTGGCACCACCCCCTTCCTTGTTCTGGGTGATTCTCCACCAGGCCGGGGAACCAAGGGGCAAGGCACTGTCTCATGCGTTTGGAGCCCCAGAGGAGGTGGAGCCTGGTGGCAGACCCCAGACCCTCAGAGGGCCCCTCCTTCTCCCTCCCACCTGCACACTTCCCTGAACCAGGTCCCCGAGCACAGCACAGCCGGACCCCCTCTGGCTAAGGGCCAGGCCTCCAGGTTTGGGTGGGGTGGGGATCGGGGCTCAGGGATGGTGGGCATTACCTCCTCATGTCTGGGTCCCCGTCTGTGGAGAGAGTGCTCAGGGAGCTGCAGTGGCTGATCCCAGTATCTGGCACCCGGCCCAGCTCCTCCTGCCCAGGCCCAGGCTTCTTGGGGCTTTATTGCTGCCGCTTGGGGCGTGGCAGGACAGAGGTCAGAGTCAGGGATCCCATCCTGCACAGCCCAGGTGACTGGCTCTGCAGCCGCCCAGCCCACTCGGGCCTAGATCTCAGTGGGGACACCCAGCTGCCCCCTCAGGGCCTGCCACACCTGACTGAGGAAGAAGTTTGCCTTTAAAAACCTGTTTAGTGGCCGGGCGTGGTGGCTCTGTTATACCCAGACCGTTTGTTCCCCAAAGAAGACCACCAGAGTCCAGAGTCAAAGTCAAGCGGCAAGGATCTTTACTACAAGTTCGAACTTGGTCCCTCCATTCTACAGCATACAAGAGGGCCTCGAACAATGCGAGTGCTTGCTTTTTATAGCCTGATGTAAACAGGATATGTAAAGTTACAGGGAACAAGGTAGTTCTCTCGGTTACTGCATTACAATTGGTTAACATTATACATTTAGCATTCCTTATCGGAGATCTCCCAGGTGATGTTTTTCTGAAGAAGTTGGGAGATATATGGGGGATGTGCCTCATTCCTTTCATTCCCCCCTTCTTTTCAGGTAACTCTAGAGCCAATCTTGGGTCTTATAAGTCTGACTCTGTTTCAGCGTTTACAGGTTGGTATTGGGCTCTGAGGACCATGAGCTGAACAGCGTCAAACCTTTCTCTGACAAACTGCAAAATTCTGTTAACAACACAAGGTCCTACAGTTAGCAGAAATAGTAGACTCAGCAGGGGTCCAAGGAAGGGGGCTAACAGAGAAAACATAGAGGAATTCCACCATTGGTCTGCAGCTGAAGCAAACTGCCGTGTTTTTACTTCAGTGCTTAACTTGCGTAACTGTTGGACCCGGTCTTCTACAAGCCCTGATTCATTTATGTAGAAACAACAGTCTTCTTTCAGAAACATACATGTACCACCTTTTTCCGCAGTGAGTAGGTCTAGGGCCCTCCAGTTCTGCAAGGTTACCTGGGCTAGGGACGTGAGCTGCCGCTGAAGGGAGGCAAGGGACTCAGCTGACTCCTCCATAGCAACGGCAAATTGTTGGTACCACTTGTTGCTTTCTATGAGGGTGTGACCTAGGGCTCCCCCCGCCATCCCGGCCGCAATGAGGGATGCGGTGAGGGAGATTCCTGCAATGAGGGGGAGAAATATGGCTCGTGCAGGTCTTGGTCTAGGGACTGGGTGAATAGCAGTACTAGTCCAGTTACCGGTGTACCCTAGGAACTCACCAGCAGTTAGTAGAGTCAACCGGGGAACTAATGTGAGAGGAAGAAGACACAGTAGGTTGGTAACAGAGGGACTAGATAGGTCCTTAGATAATGTCCCATTACACCAAAGGAATATGCCCGGCGGAGCCCTTAGGGTGATATTAGGGGGCACTGCAGTGATGCTGCAGAGGCTGGAATTGGCTCCTGAGAAACAGTAGGGAAACTTCTCCTGACTGGGGTTGTTCTTAGCTCTGTCCACAGTCCATGTGGCCGGTGCTTTAGCCGCTGCCGTGATTGGTCCCAGAAGGTTGGAGGTTGGGTCCACTGGCTTGACGTGGGTGTAGTGGATCCACGACGCGATGCCTTCTACCTTTAGGGCGGTGGGTGTGGTCAGGAGTACCTGGAGTGGTCACTTCCATCTGGGTTCTAGGGTCTCTTGTCGGTGTTGCTTAACCAGGACCCAGTCTCCTGGCTGGTATGGATGGGGTGTCGGTGGGGGGCCGGTCTCATATAGTTCCTTCAGCTTGGGCCAGATTTCTTGATGAATTTTCTGCAAGGCTTGTAGGGAAAATAAGAATTCAGAGACATTTTCTGTTTCAGACTTAAGCAGATCATCTTTTAAGCTGGGAACCAGGGGTGGAGGTCTGCCATACATGATTTCATAAGGGGTAAGGCCCAGTCTGTAAGGGGTATTACGGGCCCAGAACAGAGCGTAGGGGAGAAGGACCACCCAATTAGCGCCAGTCTCCATAGTCAATTTAGTTAAGGTCTCTTTTAAGGTCCGATTCATCCTCTCTACCTGTCCTGAACTCTGGGGCCTGTAAGCGCAATGTAGTTTCCAATTTGCCCCAAGGATGGAAGCCAAATCCTGACTTACCTTAGCAACGAAGGCGAGCCCATTATCTGACCCTATCTGGATGGGGAAGCCATACCTGGGAAGGATATCTTCCAGAATTTTTTTTGCTACGACCTGAGCAGTTTCTCTTTTGGTTGGGAATGCTTCAGTCCACCCTGAAAAGGTATCTACAAAGACAAGTAAGTACCGATACCCGTATTTTCCTGGCTTTATCTCAGTAAAATCTACTTCCTAGTAGATACCGGGCCTGGTTCCTCTGAGCCTTGTTCCTGTTGCAGCCTGGGATTGGGGGTAGGCGTTGTTAAGCTGGCAGACTTTGCAACTTGCCACGATGCTGCTGGCCTTCTCGGCTGTATGTCTGAATTTGAGCTTAGAGCGTCTGATCAGGTCTATCATCCGCCGAGCACCCAGGTGGGTGGTTCGATGGACGTGTTCTAATACTTGTTGTCCTAATTTTTCTGGTAGGATGGTTTGGTCATTAGTATCAGTCCACCACCCATTCTGGATCTGTTTCAGGGGAAGTTTGTCAATCTACTGGAGATCTTATTCTGAATATTCAGGGAAATATGGCAAGTCCCGGGGGCCTGGGTCAGGGAGCTGGAGTGCAAGGAGTTGGCTGGGAGCCTTTGCCACATTTCTTGCAGTTTGGTCTGCCAGAAAGTTGCCTTGAGCAGTTGTAGTGGTTGGTTTCTGATGCCCTGGGCAATGCACAATGGCTAACTTTTCTGGCTTCCATAGCGCTGTTAGCAGGGCTAGGATCTCTTGCTTGTTTTTTATCTCTTTTCCTTTAGCCGTTAGTAACCCTCGCTCCCTGTAAATGGCCCCATGTATGTGCGCCGTAGCAAAAGCATATCGGCTGTCTGTGTATACTGTCAGTTTCTTCCCTGCCCCTAAGGTGAGAGCTTGGGTGAGCGCTATCAGTTCGGCCTTCTGGGCCGATGTCCCTGGGGGCAGGGGTTCTGCCCAGATTACCTCAGTCTCTGAAATCACTGCCGCTCCAGCGTACCTCTGGCCTTGATGCATGAAGCTGCTCCCATCAGTGAACCAGATGAGGTCAGCGTCAGGGAGTGGGCGGTCCTGCAGGTCCTCTTGAACTCCGTGCACCTGAGCTAGTATCTCGGTGCAATCATGGAGTGGCACGTCCAGGTCCGGGTTGGGCAGCAGCGAGGCAGGGTTTAAGGTCGTTGGGGGCAGGAAGGTTATCCTGATAGGATTTAGTAGTAGTCCTTGGTAGTGGGTGAGCCGGGCGTTACTTATTCATCGATTAGGTGGCTGTTTGAGTACACCTTCGATGGCATGTGGGGTAACGACCCGCAATTCTTGACCCATGACAAGTTTATCAGCATCTTGTACCATCAGAGCTGTGGCTGCAATCATTCGGAGACAAGGGGGCCACCCGGCAGCCACTGGGTCTAACTTCTTTGACAGGTAGGCAACTGGCCTCCGCCAGAGGCCTAAGTTCTGAGTTATTACCACGTTGGCGACACCCTTACTCTCGTCCACGTATAAGTGGAAGGGCTTGGTGACATCAGGTCGTCCCAGTGCAGGCGCAGAGAGTAGGGCGGTTTTGATCTGTTGGAAAGCCGACTCGGCTTCGTCTGTCCAATTAAATGGCTGCTGCCCCCCGTGTGTTGCCTGATACAAGGGTTTAGCCAGTTCTGCGAACCCAGGTATCCATAGTCTACAAAATCCCGCCAACCCCAGGAATTCCCTCACTTGTCGGGTGGATTGTGGCCTGGGGATCTGCAGAACAGTCTGCTTCCGAGCGTCTGTTAACCAACGCTGCCCTCCTTTTAGCAGGTATCCCAGATATGTTACTTCTGGCTTACAGATTTGAGCTTTCTTTGCCGAGGCTCGGTAGCCTAGATTTCCCAGAGCTTGTAAGAGACTTTTGGTACCTTGAATACAAGCTTCTTGGGTCTCAGCAGCAATCAGGAGGTCATCAACATGCTGTAGTAAAGTTATTTCAGGGTGTTTACGTCGGTACTCACCCAGGTCTTCATGGAGGGCCTCATCGAACAGGGTAGGAGAGTTTTTGAATCCCTGCGGCAGGCTGGTCCATGTCAGTTGGCCACTTATGCCCCTTCCAGGGTCATTCCACTTGAAGGCGAAGAGCTTTTGGCTCTGAGGGGCTAAAGGCAAACTGAAGAAAGCGTCTTTCAAATTTAAAATAGTGTCCTGATTTACGAAAGACATTACAACAGCTGCCTGACTTCCTGGAGCCTCTGGATCTATGGGGGTGTACTGTCTAAAAGCTTCCATTAATCTTTCTAAGTAGGTAGCTGGGCTCTCTGTCTTTCCCTGCAGAACAGAGTATACTTTAGCCAAATTAGTGGGCTTGCGAGCAGCTGCCCGGAGACCTGCCATTAGAGCCTGGCGATAAAGGCGTAGCCATCCCCTACCTTCTGCCATGTTGTAGTCCCACGCCGGCCTGGTCAGAGGAAAGGTCGCATTTATGAGGTCGGGGTTGGCAGTTGGTTGACCGTCGTCCCCCGGGACCAACTGTCAGAGACAGCCGCTGCCCAGACTGCAAACGCGCTCGGGCGGCCCAGATCACGAGCGTGCCCCGGCAGCCTGGGTCAGAGACAGCCGCTGCCCAGACCACAAATGTGCTCCGGTGGCCCAGATTGCAAGCGCGCACCGGTAGCCTGGGTCAGAGTTAGCTGCTCGGATCGCGATGGCGCTCCGGCAGCCCAGATCGCAATTTAGATCAGAGGAGAGCCAGGGGATGTCTCCCACCGGTCTCCGCTGGCTGTCCTATAGCGCGTCCGCCAGGACGGCGCCAGCTCCAGTTTCAGACCTCACGAGTCACAGATTCAGATTCAGATTCAGAACAGACACAGACAGACAAACGGAGAGGAGCCGGCTCACCTATCAGTAGATCGATCCTAGTAGATCCGTTGACCAGGGG